AAATTTTCTAATTGATCTCATTTATCTTTAAATCTTAGTGGGAAAAGTGAAGCTATGAATCACCTTTCAGAAGTCACCTTAAAGAAGATAATTCTTGTCTTAGAAGCAGAAAGTACTATTAGAAAATTTACCCTACAGTAAAACTAGGGGAGGGGCAGTGTTTATGAGGTTGTTGGTGCCTCTCTCTCTAATTAACTTAGTCTCAGCTTGAATCTAAGCAAAGCTGACTCCTTGATTTTTTATAAAAGTCAGTCAAATGCCTAGGAAGCCATCAAGTCAAAAACATAATTTTTCCCTTCCAAAATATTTTGGGTATTTATCTATATTCAGGTTATAGCTTCATGGTCAAAGTGATATGTTTTACCTAAATCAAACATAGTACCTGTCAATTTATTCTTATTTTTGAGTACATTCCCTGGTTCATGTAAAGAGTAAACTGTAGCATTCAAATGCAGTGGTGGCTTAGATCTATAGGGAAGATACACACTAAGTTTTGTGGTCATGTGGTTGTCCAGAATGATTTCAGGTAGGAAGGAGCATCAGCTAAGTTACTTCAAACTGATTTGACTAGTTCTCCCAGTGGCCTGCATGGCTAATTAGTAAACAAAGTGAACAAGAAATTTTCAGTATAAAACTTTCCAGGCTGATTTTCCTACCTAACATGGTAAACCACAACTTTGTTGTCCAGCTTTGTAATCCCCTCAATGTTATACAATATTAATGTCCCTCTCACATCCTAAGAAACAACCCTGAGAGAGTGCAGGAAAAGCTCAGAGCCCACCCTGAGGACACTGTGGTTTTGTTTCTGATTTTGCCACTTATTAACCGTATCATTTGGGCAAGTGGTTCAATATCTACTTATCTTACTATGTGCACAGTAACACCTGCTTAAAAGCAACCTTATACATAAAAGCAAACACTGTTTTATAAGGAGGAGTCCCTAAAGTTGTTTTAAACACACAGACACACACACACACACAAACAAAAAACAGGGAAATAAAGTTAATAGGTAGAGCACTAAGAAGAACAAGCAGTTCATGAACTAGAAACATCCCCTGTGATCTGCTGTTAGCCCTTCATTTCTCTGAGTTTTAGCTGTTGAGAAGCCTGTTCTTCCTGAGTCTCGCTGTAGATGTATCTGGGTACCCAAGCTGCTTCCCAGGTTCTTGCTGGGTTCTGACCTTCTCCCAGGAACCCCAAGTCCTTCTCAGTGTGATTAAAACCTGTCCTTTGGATCCATTAATACTGAATAAGATTATTTAAAAAAATTAGTGATAGCTTTTCCATATTTTTTTATATCTTATAGTTTTTAAAATGTGATATTGTATTGATTTCTATGAAGAGTTGTGCATGAGACTTGTTAAGAACATGACCCTCTATGATAACATGGTCTCTAAGGGATAAATCAGAAGGCACTTGAAACATTTAGGAGTGCGGAGATTATAGTAGGCAGAATAACGGACCCTCAAAAATGTCCACGTTGTAATTCCTGGAATCTGTCAATATGGTGTCTTATAAGGCAAAAGGGACTTTACAGAAGTGACTTAGTTAAGGATTTTGAGATGGGGAGATTTTCTTGGATTGCTGGGTCACTCTAATGTAATCACAAAGGTCCTTAAAAGAGAGAGGGAAACGGGCAATTAGAGAAGAAAGAAGCAGCTAAGCTGCAGGCTGGAAGATGGAGGAAGGGGCCACAAACCCAGGAATGCAGGTGGCTTCTAAACGTTGGGACAGGCAAGGAAGCAGATCCTCCCCTCAAGTTTCCAGAAGTAACGCAGACCTGCCAACACCTTGATTTTAGACTTCTGACCTCCGCAACTGAAACATAATACATTTGTGTTGTCTGAGCCACTAAAATTGCAATAATCTGTACAGCAGCCATAGGAAATGAATGCAGAAACTTTTTTAATAATGTAAGCCTTCTATTGTCTAACATACATGCATACCATTGCCAACGTATTATTTAGTAATCTTGGCAGTACATGAGTCTTCCCCTCTGGAAATGTTTCCTCTTCCTACCATTTTTCTACCCCCTTCCCTTTCCCACTCTCTAGTGTTTCAGATCTCAGTTAAATAGTGATCTCCCCAAGGAGAGCACGTAGAACTAAACCTGCCAGTCTAAATTGGGGTCCCTGATGTTTTTCTGTCTCCTAGAACCTTGCACCCTTATAACATTTTAAAATTAGATATTGACTTCAATGATTATTTTATTGTATTTATCTCCCCACTATTATAAGTTTGGTGGGTATAAGAATCATGTTTGGTTCTGCTCACTGTTATGAACCTAGCACATAGTAGGGTATCCAAGGAATATTTCTTGGCTGAATGAAAACATTCCAGAATTCTACATGTTTTGTAAATAATGCCCCATAATAAAGTCCATCTGGAAGCATGAGCAACAAACTAACACACTACCTTCTCTTTCAGAGGACATGAGGCAGGTTTTATAGTAAATGATTTCCTCTGAAGTCTTAGTCAGTGTCATGTAATCTAAGAAATACTATATTTCCCCCAAATTCTTTTTGGATAACATTCAGAATGTTTTTTCTTGCCTTTATTTTCATTTTCATTTTATTGCTTTGAAATATCACTTGTAAATTTCTTTAATAATCTTAAACATCTATTTGAGAACTAACTTCAAGAGCTTTAGAAGGTCATGAGTACATTATTTTCTGCAATTTTGATTCCTCGAGCTAAAGCTATTCCTGAGCTCTTCTTGGGATGAAGTGATTAACATTTTTGAATGGTTTTATGAAGCCTGAAAACATTGAATGATTAATGAGAATGTGGATAAATTTTATTTATGTGTTTCAAAAACTTCATGTCATGTGATTGCAATGGTTTTGTTGTTGCTGTTTTAGAAATATTTTTCCTGATAGTAGATACATGTAAAGACAGTCTTTACATATTAGATACTTTTTTCCATAATTATTTTCAATGTTTTTATGATCCTTGCTCATATATATCACCTTTGTTAAATAGTTGATTCTGATTTTAAATACAAGTTCCAATGGAAAGGAAATTAATTTTATTGAGGCACTATGAAATTACTATATGTCATATGTCCACTGGGCTAGTCCTTGTAATAATCTATGAGATAGATTTTATTAATCCCATTGTACAAAAAAAGGAAATTGAGGGCCTTGGAGCTTAAATAACTTGTTTAAAGCCAGAGAAAAGGCCAATGGCAGTGCTGGGCCAACCTGACCTACAGTTCATGCCATCTCCTCTAGACCACACGACCTTTAACAGATGCTTGCAGACCAGCACGATATTCGTGATGGCTGTTCTCAAAGCAGACAGGTTCAAATGTCCCTTTCCTCAAATCCGTATGCCAGTGGGCTCCATACCTCAAGATGGAAAATGGCTAGATAGATTGGGGTACTGGAATTTATAACACAAACCCTATTGTGTTCAGCACAGCCACTTTCACTTCTCAGTGTCATTCATCTCCACAGAGCACAAGGTTCTGTGGCCATATTTGTCATGGGAGGGCCACACTTTAAGCTCATGTAACCCTGTGGCAAAAAAACCCGGGTCTTCCCGGACATGGGAAGAATCTTATGAGAAGAATTTGTAATAACTGCAGCTCTTGGTTTCCAAAGTTATCAGCGGCCTCTAATAAAACATATTTCAATTTTTCTTATTGTCTGCAGCCTTTCATGTTAGAAACCTCCCATTAGGGAGCTCTTTGCATCGTGTCACAGTGGCATGTAGATGATGCCCTCATGTGTTTACTGACAGTGAGGTGAAGGGAGTAGGAATATCACACGGATCCACCGCTAGTCACCCCTGAAATGCCCTGATCAGCTGTTATTCTTATTTAACCTCTTATTAACAAAAGAGTTAATAAACTTTTCGGCCCCTAAAGCCAGATACGATATTCGGCATACCTGGCAAGTTCAGAATAAATGTTTTATTGGTATGGATTTGAAAAATCTGATTCTAGTAAAAGAAAGCCTAGACCAACAGCAGACTACATAAACGGCTGTCCAGAAACTGAGTCAGGTTCCAGCTACTGCTTTTGTATCTGTACATCTCCCAGTCAGAACAAGAAAATCAAATCCTCCTTTTTGATTCATTGCCCTGTGTTTCACTAGCCTTTGTTTTTAACACTAAGAAAGCCACTGATGGCCCTTAAAACTAGAATTTACACCATTGCTGCCATTTTTTACTTAAAGAAAACTGGAAGATGAAATCTTAAGGATGGTGGATGCTAAGAAAACAGGTGACAACACAGCCAGCCAGGGATGGTCAACAAAATCATGGCTGCAGTAAGCAAGGCAGTCAGTGACTTCTACAACCCATCTAAATGATAAATAGAAAGGCTGATCTAGAAATTATTATTCAATTTCAGGTATGCAGAATATATAATAACAAACTTGTCGATTTTTTTTTAATTTTTACTAATTTGTTTGAATTGTCTGTAGACACAACCGTGAAATTCAGAATGTCTACTTGGCTCCATTTTGTTAGCTGAAAAACACCCAGAAAGCCTTTTTATTTTCTTAACAAAATGGCACAGTCTTATTTAGAAGTTGGAGCGAAAGCCTTTACTGCTCGCCTGTAAAAAGAAACAGCACAACCCAGCAGAGTAGCTGACAAGTGACACAAATACAGTCCATGCTAATGTGCAGAGGGAAACAACCTTGAGAATTTAAACCGGCTGCACCAGAAAAAATATCTTTATCCAGATATGTGGTCCCTCATGAATTATACTATTATTTTAGTTGATTTTACCTGACATCACCCTATGATTTTCTTCAGTGACAAGAAAATTGCAGCCGGCCCTTGACAGTTGGTCACAAATTGACTGCACAAAACAAAATCAAACAGTGAAGTAATCCCCAAGTAAATTTAATGAAACCTAAATCCCATAGGGCAGCACACTTCTGTAGGCAATGGTCTTATTTAATAAATTTTCCCCTGCTTTCACTTTGAGAGCTATATTTACACAGACAAATTTAATTCATTTGGTTTACATTTCCTCTTCCCCTTAGTGTGTCCACCAGGCACATATGGGAAGGACTGTAAACAGGTATGTCAGTGTTGGGCCGAGAATGAAGACTGTCACCCAGTCACAGGGAGATGTACCTGTCTGCCCGGCTACCATGGAAACCACTGTCATCTCCGTAAGTGTGTTCTCTGCTTTAGTTGTCATTTATTGAGGAGACACCAGTAAGGTGGGTCATCACTTCGAATGCTAAAGAGCAAATGTTAATTCAAGCTTCTAATTCATAGCAAATCTTACGGGAGTTTTTATTGGAATGGTTGAAACCTGTACTTTTTGGAGTAACTTGTTCTACTTTGCCTTTTCTATTCAAAATATCCCCCTGAAAAGAGATAAGAAATAGATAAAAAGAAATAAGAAAACATGAACTGATTATTATAGATCAATATACAGAAATGGCAACATATTACAGTGATTCATAAAGCAATTTCCTGGATCTGCTTAGAAACAATCAAATTAAACAAATTGCTCTTCTGGAATGAAAACAATGACTTGCTTAAAGATAAAATGCCAGTTGGCTCATTGTTACGCAACAAAAAAGAATAGTCCCTAGACCAAACACCTTGTATTGATCTGTTAGGAATTTTAACATCGAAAATGGTTATAGGAGAACACACAACCCAAAGTCCCAAAGATCATGTTAAAATGTTCAGTCAGCTACTTAATTTTTAAGCTTGTAATTATTTGTAATGTACTTTTTATAGGTTTAAGAATAAAATGATTTGGCCTCAGTTTCATTGTTTCCCCCAACTTGGCCATTGCTACTCTTTTCTCCCTAGTTGCTCCCATGGCAGATTCCTTCTACTTTCCTTTCCTAACTTTGTCAGTGTGTGGATGAGTTCTGGGTTCCCCACTCCCCCAAACGCCACCTATAAAACATAGACTTATGATCAAGCTATTGATTTTAATTTTCTACAAGCCACAGAATGTATATTTTGAATATTACCTCTCTTTTTTCTGTGTCCTAATTTTAAACATTACCAGCTAAACACACAATTAAGCGTGTATGAAGTGGTTTCAATTAGTATTGTGTTTGGAACCCATAACCACTGCAGTTACTCAAACTTAAAATGAAGAACTAAAATATAAAATTAGTAAAATTTCAATTATTATTTTTTGGTAATGTAGTAGAGAAAGGAATGATTCCCTCACATTTGAGTCTGTCACATTGCTCAGGAAGAATTACTTCTAGATCTCAATAATATTTTATATTAATAAAATATTATCAAGTTACACATAGCTGTAGCACTTCTATTTAGAAGGCAAGCTATCTTGGGTTGAAGGAGGGTGGTTTTCCCTTGTAAAAGCAAGGCTGAGGCAGGGAGCTGCTGCCTGACTAGTCCGATTGGCTTAGTTCCAGGCAACACGTGGTTGGAAGTTGCTGCTAAGGTTCCTTGGCAACATCCACTGTAATTACAGGACTACGAAAAAGGGTTCAAGAAAATATTCATAAAAGGTGCAGCTGGCTCAAAAGCAAAAGTCTCAGCAGCCAAAAACAACTGGGCTTTCATGTTCTCAAGTTCAGAGTAGAGAATCCAAATTTTCTCTCTGTAGAGGTCAGAGGAAGCAGACAAATGTGAAGTAGCAATCTCACTACTTATCCATAATTTATAATGGGCTGGTCAGTCTCAGCGTGTGGGTATCATGTGGTGAAGACAAACTTCCCTAGTTGATGTAAACGCATCATGCTATGTATTTTTTGACCAGTAAGAAATGGTAAAGTACCATGAGTCCTGGAAATCTTTTATTTTTCTAACCTGCAATACTCACTATTTATAATGACGCTCTTTGAGAGAATTTAAGGCACTGAGGTCCTCTCACACCATGGGCAGTTCTGTTGACAGTACTCATAAAACACCCCCACACTTGGTATAGAATGTTTTGAGAAACATGGACCGCAGAAGAGGCTACCTGTGCCAGGAGAAAGGTATCAAGACTTTGATAGAAGTCTGGCTCTCATGCCCTTGCTCATAGCAATAAAAATTCAGACAGACCGTATCTTAGTATCTCTTTTAAGTATAAAGTAAAACTTCATGATAACGGCTAGTGTATGTGTGAGTAATCTGGTCAAATACTAGAAAAAATGACCCTGTAAAAAACAGATTTGTGCATTTTTATCTGCTTCGGAGCTCAGTGTCTCAGGATACAGTCACAGCCTTGCTTGCTCTAAGTTCCCAGGCATTTAAGTCATCAGAGTATACAGTAGCCTTTCAGATCTAAACAAATCAGAACTGTGAACTCATATCCAAGCTTCTTCCTAGTCAAGCTCCTTCAAGGAGAGGGGATGGAGCAAAAGTGGGAAAAACAGTCAACTTCTAATAGGAAATAACTAAACATCCCTTGTCAGAGAGACAGAATTTCCCAGGAGAAGTAGTTGTAAAGGACAGAGCAAAGGCCAAGTAATGATCAAAATGGAACTTTAGGAAATGAGGGCAAAGAGCCCAAATTTCACTCAAGCAAGTGGAATGAAATCATTGTGTCCTGGGCATATGCTCCCTTATAAAATGTGTTGACCTTTTGAGCAAGGGATGCGTTCATGATTCCAGAAGTCAAACTTTTCATAGTTACAGTTATGCAAGAAAGTGGAATTGTTTATAAAATTGCTTATTTTTGAGGGAGAAAAAGTTATGGGCACTTTTGTAAACAAATACCGTACTCTTGATATAAATTTAATGAGTTGCGGGACTAAGAGGTTCGCACATACACTATCTTTCAACAGATGGTGTACTCATTAGTAAGTTCATCAAGTTCACTGTCCCTATTTCAAAAGGATAATTAAGTTGAAGACTAAAAATGAAGTAATTTTTTTTCTATGTATAACAACAAGAACAGCCCCGGCCAGTCTCACTCAGTGGCTAGAGCATTGGCCGGCGCACCAAAGAGTCAAGGGTTAGAGTCCCAGTCAAGAGCACTTCCGAGTTGCAGGTTCAGTCCCAGGCCCCGGTTGGGGTACGTGCGGGAGGCAACCAATCAATGTGTCTCTCTCACATCGATGTTTCTCTCTCCCTTCCACTGTCTCTAAAAACCAATGGGGGAAAAAAATCCTTGGGGGGGGATTAAAAATAAAAATAAAAAGAACAGAAAGAGATGATTCTATCAAATGCAAAACCACCATTTATAAGATAGTTAGCAAAATGGTTATATATCAGAGGGAAATTATGTTTCCAAAGTAATTTTGACATACAAAAGTGATTGCAAAATACAGACTTTTACATATATCAGTCATTTAAATGTATCAAATAATTTTACATAAGCTCTTTTTCCCCTTTTGACTGAGATGCTTTTTCTTTGATACTCATAATTACATTCACCATTTAAGATTTTTCTCATTAATAAGTTCATAAGCTTCACTCTGTCAGGGGTTGCTCTTTTCCTCATTGCACAGAACGCCATGTCACCTTTCACTTCAGAGTAATGTGACTCCAGAATTTTCTATGCCATCAACTCTTATTAATTTAACCTGCTTTGTGGAGGCAACCTGCCAGCAGTACACACTAGACTTCCTTGTTTCGAACTCCATGCCTTCAGCTTGCTTTCTTTGTATTTACTCTAATATCAAGCAACCAAACAATTTTTACAGCATCACACATAGTAATGATACAAACTATAAAAGTTTACATTCTAAGAGACTGACCCCAGTGGACATGAAAGAAGAAGGTTTTTACCTTGGTGAATAAGAGAAGAGGAGCTGGAGACTCTTTTCTAATCACTGACTTTGTAGGTGCATTCTATTGCATTTTTGTGAGGGAGGGAAAAAAACTTCTTAGGAGGGCTATAGAATTCTGTGTACCAAAAAGGGTTAATTTGCTATGAAAACTGGCATCCTCGGGAAGGAGGGAATGACAAAAGGGAAGGTGAAGTGAATCCATTATTTTTCACAGAGAGGAATAAAGAAATACAACAGTTATAACAGAGAAATAACCTTTTGTATCAATGATTTTAAAGTGTTTTTCTTTACATCTCCATCATGGAGAATTAGACTCAAGGTGAAAACCCTGGGTTTTAGAACAGGATATATGTGAGAATTATAAACAATCTGAATCTCAATAAAAGACCATTTTTTTAAATTTCTACCTCTAAAACCTTGCTATATGTGAAATACTTAAAAAATGTTCTGATTCTTATATAAAAATACAAAATAAAAGGGAAGGAAGAAAGAGTCATGTGGTCTAGTTTAGTCACCTTTGGAGCTTTGTTTCCAAGGAAAAGATTTTCCAAGAGAAAGGACCTAAGGCAAATATCAAAGCCTTTGACTCAGGTCAAGCAGGTAGGGAAAGGGTTATGCTACGTACCTACCCATGATCCTGCCTCTATTAATGAAAATAATAGCTACGGCTGACTTGGGTGATTTATGGGTTTGGTAATGTGTTAGATACTCTATTTTTTCACCTTAGTTCCCACAACAGTCCTGTCATTTTGTTGTTAGACCCTTTGAGAATGAAGAACCAGAAGCTCAAAGAAAGGACTTACTCAAGGCTGTAACACTAGTAAGTTAGAGATATAGGGTTAAAATCACAGTCTATTCAAAACTTGCTACAGCATCATATTTTAAATATATGACAAGAATAGAGGGTTATCTCTAACTGGGGACAGACTTTTGTACAATAAATATTTCAAGCCACTTCACTCTGTAGGCCTCAACTTCATCATCCTAGAATAAGAGTTGAACCAGGTCTCTTGAAACTCAAACTTCTATGATTTTTAAGACTTTAAAGTTTTCCACAGAGGCTACACCAATTTGCGTTCCCACCAGCAGTGTACGAGGGTTCCCTTTTCATCCTCATCAACATTTGTTATTTCTTGTCTTACAGATAATAGTCATTCTAACAGGTGCGAGGAGGTGTCTCATTGTGGTTTTGATTTGCATTTCTCTTATTGCTAGTGAGGTTGAGCATCTGTCGCCCATCTGTATGTCTTCTTGGAAGAAGTGCCTGCTCAGGTCCTCTGCTCATGTTTTAACTAGATTCTTCTCTTAGCTAAACACCCCCAGTCTTTCAGCCATTGCACAGATAATATAGTCTTCAGCTCGCTCTTTCTCCTGTTCAGACTCCGTTTATCTTGAAGCCTGGGTACTTATCCACTCCGATGAAAGGTATCATCATGGCAGGCCACACATTCATGAATATGACAGCAAACAGCTGAGAAACTAACAAAATAAAGACACTTCCTCTATGCTTGGTCCCATTTTGAATTCTTATGTGTATTAAACCCAGGTCATTCCAGGCAAAACAAACACTTAAATATTAACCAAAATAATAAATTTATGTAGGCTGGAATGAAATAGCCTTGTTTGGTGAAGTGTCTCCTATTCTGAGTATTCTCTAAAAGTGGGTAGATTTCCAAAGAAGCTCAAAGTTTTTCTTATATCTTATTAATTAGCAGCCTCTATTTCTGAGCCATCTCTTTCATCTCATATCCTCAGGTAAGTCCATGAAAGTACCAAAAACCAGTAACTGGAATATTGAGTTAACCACGTCTGTGGACATGAATTTAAATATTGATTACTTCAAGTACATTACCACATATGGTTTGTTCTCCTTTAACAGAATGTCCAAAAGGCACTTATGGTCCTTATTGCCAGAGGACTTGTAAGTGCCTGAATGGTGGCAATTGTGACAACATGATTGGCACCTGTGACTGCCCTCCTGGCTTCACTGGGGCTGACTGCAGTCAAAGTAAGTCACTCTACCTATTATGAAATGGATATGCTAAAGCAGAATTTTTAATAACCACGCTTAGGGAATAAATATTGTTGCAATTATTTTAGTTAATAATTTACTGCGGTAACAGCAAACACCAACTGACCTAAATTCTAGTTTGAGGAGTACTTACATCAGGAGTTTGATTGAGAGCTGAAGTCAGTGAAGGCAGCCAAAGAGAGCCCTTTGGTCATAACTTCTCTTGCCCTACCAATGCTGGACTCAGGTTAGGATTCAAAAATCTGGCAAGATCAGGTAAGACTGGGGATTCTTGTGTATACAATGTCAAACTCATTATCTAAAGTTCCACAATTTCACTTATCCTCAGCAATTTTCCAGCTTAAAATTAAGCAGTTCCCCTGTTTATCAAAAAGTAACTCATTCCCTAAAATCCAAAGACCTTAACTACTTATCACGAAAACAACTATTGACATAGTTTAAGCGACTAGTTATAAATGAAAGATCCCTTAACAATGACCTGGCTTAAACACTTTGGGGATGTCCTTAGCAAATATGTTTTGCTTTTATTAGACCTTCCATTTTATAAGTATTTGAATAGTTTGCAAGGTCTAGGTGCTCTTTAGGAAGGAGAGGAGGCAATGGGTAGAAGAGCTCATGAAGGGGAGGTGGTCCTGCCAACCTTGTGTTCTTTGGCCTGTGTTCTTTGTGCTGTTGAGGAGGATGTTCACTTTATGATCCTTCATTGAGCTGCACATTTAGATTTTTTGCAGTATTCTGTATCTTATACTTCATAATTAAAAGAGTAAAAAAAAATCAAGAGAACATAAATTAAAGATACAAGTACTGTGATCGTGAACTAGAGATTTCTTTATTTGGAAGAATGATAACGAAGTTTGTGATCAGGCATGGTGCTCAGTTGTTCTGTGCTAAAGATATCCAAAATGCTTATCTCCCTCAGGCAGGTAGCTGCTCAGTCTTCTTTGTATGAGGGTATTTTTAATTACCCTGCCTCAGTACCCTGCTGTTCTGAGGATAAAAGGCAAATAAGACAAAGTCCTGGCTCCTAGTAGCGGAAAATTGAAACCTAGTGGATACTGCCTCTGAGGCCTCAACAGCCAAGTTATCTTTGAGTTAAAGCCAACCCATAAACATCTCCTAAAGGTTCTGACTGGCTCCTTTGTGTTTGTTCTTCAAAGAGAATCGTTGGGAGAAATTTTCTAATTTCCTCAGGCCAAAGCATCTTCAAAAGCTATGGTTTCCCTGAATATTGAGAGTATTTTTGTCTTCACAGAGCTGTGATCTTGTACCTGAGCACTTTTCTTCTTTACTTTGGCAGCTAGGTAGGGCTGAGCCAAATTTACAATCTACCTCTTAAGTTCAAGGAATTACCATATTCATTTATGTATAGGGTAAACCAAAAAAATGTACACACACTTTATCAGCTGATAGCTCAATTTAGAAAATGAAATATATTTTAATAAACACTGCCTTTATAATTATTCAAAGTGTGTCTGTACATTTTTGGGGCACCCTATATGTGTTGTTACCATATTTTCCCTCTGCTTGATTCTCACACATATTTATTTTATCTTTGTGCGTTTCCTGTATTTTGGTAAGCATCTCAGTGAATTTTTGGAATAAATTTGAAGCTAAACAAACAAGCAAACAGATTGATAAACATGTAATAATATAATTTACTAAAAATAATTTAACAGATTTTTTAGTTTCAAGTAAAGAATAAATTTACAAATAAAGTAATAAATATATAAATTAATATTTGGAGATGTGAGCATAATAGTCTTAAATCAATATATAAACGTAAGCTAAAATTCCAGTGTGGACTTTAAGAGGAAACATACTCAAGAATATTACACACACATACACACACACACACACACACACATGACAGCTATGGGATAAAGAAAGTCAGAATTTATAGAATCATTTATATCCTATATGTAAGTGTTTGACACTAGATATTTGGTTGGAATTCCAGTTGTCAACTAAAATTACACTAAGTAAGCAACAATTTGAACAATTCCTTTTTTTGTTTTGTCTTTTTGGGATTTTTTTTCCAAAGTAACCTTTTAGGTTGACATCCAAACTGAGGACAAATCAGGAAAATCTATTTGATTAAAAGAAAGGGTAATGTATTTACAAGTTTTAAAACTCTTGACTGGCGAAAGGTTTTAATAAGAAAAATCTGCCTTTGTTTTGCTCTGCTTTGTTTTGCTCCTTCCCACAAGCTTGTCCTACAGATCACTACGGGAAGGACTGTGTCCAGCGGTGTTCCTGTGGCTCAGGACAGTGTGACCCGGTGACTGGAGGGTGCCACTGTTCACCTGGCCAAACGGGAGCCAAGTGTCAGCAAGGTAACAATGACTGCAGGGTTACCTTGCTTATCCAGGCACTAACTATGCTACACTCTAAAGGCAGATTTGGTGCCAGGGAATGTAATTAACTAAGCTTTGTTTACAACACTTTCTTCTTAAATGTGACTTTAATAACATGAACTACATGCTCCTGTAGAGCTACATACGAAATAGTCTACTGGAGGCTAAACAAAAATTGAAAACAAAAACAAAGAATAATTTCTGCATACTCTTGACTGGGAGAAAATTTTTAAATAACTTGGGTAAACTTTTGTAAGACTGCCAAAAATTGTGTGTTGGAGATGTCTAATTGTAAGAACTGAAGAATGTTATATCTTTTTCAACTTTCAGAAGTCCACTGAAAGCTGCAAGAAAAATAAGAGACAGAAAGAAAAACATGATCTCTGTTTCATACTGTGAAACTTTCTTGTCCTAAATCTTATTTATTATTATCATAACAATAATCATAACAGAAGAACTGTCAAGTTCAATGAAGTGTGGGCATGTAGAGAGGATACTGGGCCCCTAAAGCTCTTAGGTGGGTCCAGCAGTGCAGCCACTCCTCCATGGCTCACACAGAAGGGCAAAACTAACAAGCCCTTGTGGAATCATGAGGTTGGGTGCCTGGGCAGGCTGCAGGAGCTGCTTTGAATTCCCTGGACATCTCAGAGCAGCAGGAAAAATGGGATAAAATCAAGAAGTGAACAGGCATATCTTTTCAACTCTGTGCTGAGATAGAGGGGACTTGGTGGGTCACATGGTGTTTTACTCTGTGCCAAGAGGCTTCCTACTAGCTGAGATATCTTTCTAGCCCCAAATCCATACTACCCTCCCACAAATAGCCAGTACATAAAAAACTAAGTTAATAATAATAAAAAACTAAGCTGGCACACTAAAAAACAAACAAACAAACTCTCCTAATTTTGGAAGCAAAATATGAACCCAACATAGAGCAAAAAAGTTTTTTTGTTATGGAACACCTGAAAATATTAACCAGAATTTCTTCCAAGAATTCAAGGACATAATGAAAAAGTGTCCTCTATAAAATGTGAGTGCAATGCAGAGATACAAGGTTCGTGAAAATAAATGAAAACACAACAAAAGAAAATGAAAAAATAAGCTGGCAGAGCTCAGGAAAAACTGGAAAAGAAAATTAAACCTCACATCATATGAATAAAGGCCACGTTGAAGGTAGGTAATAAAAGGATGGAATCTACTGATGGGACAGCCAGGCATATAAAAAATATGCTTGAGGAAAGTACAAACAATGAAATGAAAAAGAAAACTAATATATAAATGGAACAGAAAACTGATCAAATATATTCAAGATGTTTTATCTGAAATAAAAGGAGATCTGATGCTACAGGGTGAATGAATACATTATATGCCTGGAAATGCTAGTTAGGGTTGACCATAGGCAAGGGGAAACTCCATTGGGAAAATAAAAAAATTGTGAGACTCATAAGAAGTGGGGGGATCAATCTGGCCTCATACCTCACAACAATGTTCATTGCTAGCCTATGGTTAATCAATGCCTATGAAATTCTTGGGGGAAAAATATAACTAGTGTATTTTATACACAGTGAAACTATCATTTCAGTATGACATGAAAAATAAACGACTATTTTTAATAATAAAAAAAGGTTCTGGAAATATAGAAGCTATAAAATACTTTGAAGAAACTAATAAAAGATACATTTGAGCCACCAAGTAATATATGAAAAATCTCTGGTAAACAGACTATTAGTGAGTATTAAATCTATTTTAATTAGGGCTAAATATAAAACAAATGTGGGGATTATGGTCAAGTGCTGTAAGGTAAGTATATAAATATTATAAATTATAACAATGTTGAGATTTTTAGCATAACTTTAGCATATACTGGAAGGGGAAAGAAGGTGGAAGAGTATAAGTATACTAATGAAATTTCTTTATTAGTGGTTATGGGGTGGCAGGGATAGATCTGTGTCAAAACATTATTTATATATGACAACTCAATAAGCACATTTAAATGTGTAATGGTAAGTGCTGGAATTTAGAATGCTATAATTGAGAATTTAAGAATAAAAATGTTGCCAGCTAAAATAAGGTACAAGAGAGGTGTGAGTAAAATTTTGAGAAAGCAGAATCATGTTAATTTCATCAGCACTCATACTAGAGGATCAATATGTAGTAAATAAAGAAATCATCATATTATGTAATATTATATGCTGGCTAAAGAAGATTCCTTAAGTTATATAAAATTACAAGACTTTCATTTAGAGAAAGATGGAGTATATACATGTATTCTTATTTCTTCCTCCAAAACCAGTAAACATCTAGAAAACAAACATAAGAATCTCTGAAATGCGAAGGGAAGGCAGACTCACTAGGAACAGTGGGGACTTTGGGAACAACATGGCCATGAGTTCCCGGGGCTTCCTTTTTGTATCTTAGATATCCTGGAGTGGGTCCCAAGCAACACGAAACCCAGGAAGGCCAATCAGTGCAGAGAAAATAAGGCCCAAGATAAGCCCATTTCTTCTGGTCAAAAGACCAGGAAAAAGGCAGCCTATGGAGACAAAAAAACCTCTTAGCCAATAATCAGTCTACTCTAGTCAGACACTACAAAATAAAACTGCATCCTCAGCTCCATCCCGGGCCACCTGAAGAATCTACTCTTCAAATTCCACCTAGATACAATGAGGCCACCCTCCTGTTGCCCCAGGATGGTGTGAGGAAAGGCCTGGTGGGGCTGGGACTTTCATCCCTGCCCAATAGGAACAACGCCCCCCCGCCCCCTCCCCAGCCTCTCCCCCACAGTATCAGTGTCAACCGCGTGGAGAGTGTGAACCCCACGACCCTAGGTGGATGATAAGGAGACACCACACTCCTCTCTGCTAGGGTGGCATCAGAGGAGGTCTAGTGGAGAGTCGGGCTTCCACAGCCACCAGGCAGCAGTGAGGCCACCTCAGGCAGTGTCAGTGGAGGTCAAGTGGGAGCTGGAAGGAGGCACCTCCACCCCTCTGTCAGCAACAGCCCGTGGGGAACCTGAACTCTTACCCTGACCAAGCAGGAAGGGGTCATGTTTATTCCCCTCCCACTCGGAGACTTGGTGAGGAACATGGACTTCAGCTTCTATCTGCTGAACCTCTTTCCTCACCATACGCAGTGTCAAAGGGGACATACTAGGTCAGGAGATTTAAATGAGATCGAGAGCCTCGTATCATAATACTCAGTATGTCCAGGTTTCATTTAAAAATTATTCATCATATCAGCAACCAGGAAAATTTCAAATCAGTGTAGGGTATAAAACTGAAAGCAGCTATTGAACAAACAAGACAGACAAAAACCCAGACAGCAGTATGGTGGTTGCCAAAGGGAAGAGGGTTGCGGGACT